TGGAAAATAACCAATTAAAAAACAATAAATACAATATCTCTCTCCTTATTTGAAGGATCTTACACCATTTTGGTAAGTTTTTCTTCACAATGTCAAGCACAATGTCTAGATGTAGACATTGTGATTGACATTGCAGACAAAAACTTACCATAAACACATAAGACCGTGGAAAGAAGGAGAGAGATATTGTATTTAATGTTTTTTAATTGGTTATTTCTCATGCCACGTATGCACCGTTAACGTTTTAGCATTAAAGATGCTCTAAGTAAATATGAACTTCCATACTCATCAGTCACCCCTAACCAAATTGATACTGCCATCCACTTCCTTTTTTGTCAAGCTTTTTGGATAAAATATCCATTATTCTAACCTTTCATTTAAACCAATTTCTTAAATTTCGTACCTCAAAAATATATACATCCCTCCCGAAAAGGTTCGTCATATTGACTTTTCTTAGTCAATTATGATAAACTTTAGACAATTATTGTAATTATTATATTTGTATATAATTTAAATATTTTATACTTTTATGAAAATATTTTGAATAAGAAACGTTTTAATATAATTTTCATATTCAAATTAATTTCATATTTAAAAATATCATCGTTCAAACTTCAAAGTTGATTGTCATTAATTAAGAAAAGTCAATTTGTCAAACCTTTTCAGGACGGAGAAAGTATGAGACCATTGGATTTACGTATGATTAAAAAGTTTTGCACATATTGTTCTAACGATTAAAGCTCAATCCAAAAGATATAATCGTCCACCTAGACGCTCGCACCTGACCCGATAGAATGAAGGAAAAAATCTATCTCAAACACTTTCTGGATGAGATCGTCCTTTTGATGTGCATGAGATTAATATTGGAGATTAATCTTACTCAACAACCGAGGCAGGATTATATAGGTGGGTTTAATTTTTGAATGGTGATGAGCTAGGTCGGCCTTTCAAGTTTTTACGTGTATTATACATCTTGTGGTAATAATGTTATGGTATATGCCGGCCAACAACTTACACCAAAGGGGTTAAATATTCCTCGGCACGTTGAATATTTACTGGATTCTCTCATATATCATCCAGACAACAATCTGCAAAACTGTGATCCGGAAACGTCCCAATCACCAGCACCAGCAGCAGCAGAGCAGAGCAACTGTTACATTGTTTTTTCTTTCTGGATCTGTATTTACTGATGAGTGGCATGCATATTGCAGGCTCAAAAGGAAATATGTGCCTTTTGAGTGCCCCAAAAAGTGTAGGGGAGGTTTTCATTAAAGCTAATTAAGGGTTGGATACTTTTATTGCTAGCTGGTGTCTTGTCTGGTAGCCAGTTCAATAATGCTGTAGCTATCTATGCCTAGCTACCCAGCTAGGGGGACCAGACATAACTTTCTTCTCCCTTAGCTCAATTCTCACCACCATGTTCTGGTTTTGCTTCTTTGGCTCCATACCTTAACATTCAGCTGATCTATAAGTCATAGGGGTATATTAGGGGGTGTGAAAGTGAAACCAATAATTGGCATGTACTTAGCTAGCTGCTTGGAATTCTTTTGCTCCTCTTTCTCTCTTACCAGTTACCACTTACCACCCAAGATTAAATTCCAATTGAAATCAGTTTCTTGTAATAACTCTCATATAAATTCTTTTACAACACACTGTTGTGAGTTGCGGCAGTCTGATCTTGCTTTCAATTATGACATACATACAGTGTTCTCATAGCAATGAGTCGTAGCAAGGCGTCAACGCCAAGTTTTAAGTCTTTAAGCCTAAGCGAGAATAGGCGAAGTTAAGCGTGAAAAATATCGCAATAGAGGGGAATCTTTTATGTAAAACTATTTTTATTATGTGTTATGTGATTGTTTATATTGTTTGAAGGATTTATAATCGAATAAATTACACTTTTGGTCCTATGAGTATCGCATCAATTCCACAATTGATTCATGTCTTTGACTTTGACCACTTTTGATACCTGACTATTGTGTTTTTGCTCACATATGGTCCTTCCGGCAACTATTCCGGCGGTTAAAATCGCCGGAAAAGGACAACAAATGATCAAGAAACATTAGTCAAGTATCAAAAGTGGACAAAATAAAAGACGTGGACTAAATATGGAAATGACATAAAACTCGTAGACCAAAAGTGGAATTATTTCTTTGTAATCAGGTATTTGTGTGAAATAATGGGAAAGAGGTTACTCCAATAGGAGTCCTGGCAGATCAATATATAATGAGAGAGTTCAAGGTACAAAAGGAAACAAATATTGCTAAATATATTTTAGGAAACAAATATTCCTAAAATATATTCTATTACACCCCCTCAAACTGTGCGGGAGAAACAACGCGCAGGTTGTCCTTTAAAAAATGAAACTGTTGACTAGAGAGACTTTTAGTAAAGATATCAGCCAACTGCAACTGTGTAGGAATGTACTTCACAACTAGATCACCATGAGCCACACGCTCTCTGACAAAATGATAGTCTATCTGAATGTGCTTGCTGCGAGCATGCTGGACGGGATTAGCAGTCAAGTAGGATGCAGATATATTGTCACAAAATAATTTAACTGGAACCGAGATAGGAAACCCAAGCTCAAATAGTACAGAACGGATATGCAGAGTATCCTGAACAGTATATGCCACGGCTCTATATTCAGCTTCTGTAGAAGATTTGGAAACGGTAGGCTGCTTTTTGGATTTCCACGAAACAAGATTAGGGCCCAAAAACACTGCAAACCCAGTCGTGGAACGAGATGTATCGGGACAGCCTGCCCAATCTGCATCGGAATAAGCAATAACACACGTGGCCTGAGTAGTCGGCTGAAGCCATAATCCATGATCAAGGGTCCCCTGTAAATATCTAAAAATACGCTTGACTGCAAATAAGTGAGTAGTACGGGGAGCATGCATAAATTGAGACACTAAATGAACAACATAGGTAATATCAGGTCGTGTCAAAGTTAAATATTGCAACGCACCAACCATACTACGATACTCAGTACCATCTGCAAGAAGTTCCCCATCAGTAAGGGAGAGAGACGTGCGAGTAGCAAGTGGAGTACGTACAGACTTAAGTGTGTGAAGATGGAAACGAGAGAGAAGATCAGACACATATTTATTTTGGGAAAGAAGCAAACCTTTAGCAGTACGCACTGCCTGGACTCCTAAAAAATAGTGAAGATCACCCAGGTCTTTCATAGAAAAATGTGTAGCAACAAGCTGAATAAAAGAGGTGATAACAGCGGAAGAATTTCCAGTAATAATGATGTCGTCCACATATAGTAATAAATAAATGACATTATTATTCTGACGATAAATGAATAAAGAATTATCAGACTTGCTGCACGTAAAGTGATGAGAGAGAAGAAAACTACTGAAACGATGAAACCATGCCCGCGGGGCTTGCTTAAGACCATAAATGGCTTTTCGCAATCTGCATATATGATTAGGAAACAAAGGATGAATAAAACCCTGCGGCTGACGCATATAAACTTCCTCGGTGAGGTGACCATGCAAAAAGGCATTTTTAACATCCAACTGTCTAATGACCCAACCAAAAGAAATAGCTAAAGTAAGAACAATACGAACAGTGGTGGGTTTTATGACAGGACTAAATGTTTCAGAAAAATCTACACCGGCCTGTTGATTAAAACCTTGAGCGACCAAACGAGCTTTATGGCGCTCAATAGAACCATCAGAGTTATACTTAGTCTTATAGATCCACTTAGAGCCCACAACATTTTTAGAATTATCAAATGGCACTAAATCCCAAGTATTATTAGAAATAAGAGCATTAAATTCCTCAGCCATTGCCGCCCTCCATATTAAATGTTTATTAGCCTCTGAAAAGCAGGTAGGATCAGCTGATAAAGCAACTGTGTTTAAATTAAAAATTGTTTTTGGTTTAAAAATCCCCGACTTTGCCCTGGTCTGCATGGGATGATTATTCATAAACTGGCCGTGAGATAGAGGCGGAGAAGACATGGACGTAGCAGACCGAGGAGTATTAAGAGGGGCAGTCTCCATGGGCTCGGTTGGAGGAGAAAAGGAAGAAGTAGGAGGGCTGGGAATCTGTTCAGGGGAAGGAGTCTTAGGTGGTGGTGATGGACTGTTTTGAGGTGTTGAGGATGGTTCGAAGACTTCGGGTGGAGGATCTTCGGTAGTGGCTGGTGTAGGACTGCCCGTGGGAAGTGGAGGGAGAGGCAGGGTAGAAGTCGGTGAGTCTGGAAAGCTTGGGGCGGTATTGGTGAGTGTAAACTCAGGAGCAATAGGAAGAGATGGAGACGTGGGGTGATTTGTAGAAGAGGATAATGTGGCGTATGGAAAAATATTTTCATGAAAGCGAACATGCCTGCTAATAAAAACTTTTCCTGTCTTAGGCTCAAAACAACGATAACCTTTAAATCCAGATGCATAGCCAAGAAAAACACATTGAACAGAACGAGGAGAAAGTTTATTGGAAGATGATGCAGAAAAATTAGGATAACATGCACATCCAAAAACGCGTAAAGAATTATAGTCAGGGACTTTTTGAAAAAGTTTTTCATATGGTGAAACACCAAAAAGAGTAGGAGAGGGAAGTCTATTAATAATATATGCAGCTGTAAAAATAGCATCAACCCAAAAAGTGTTAGGAATGGAGGCCGTGATAAGCATAGTCCTAGCAAGTTCCAAAAGGTGGCGATGTTTACGTTCAGCGACACCGTTTTGTTGAGGAGTATGAGGACAAGATTTTTGGAAATAGATTCCATGTTCAGCAAAAAATTGTTGCATATTAAAATTAACAAACTCACCCCCTCCATCACTTTGAAAAACTTTTATTTTAGCATTAAACAGATTTTCAACAAGAAGTTTAAAAAGACGAAACTGAGAAAACACTTCATTTTTTGTGCGCAAGGGATAAACCCATGTGAATCGAGAAAAATCATCAATAAAACAAACATAATACTTAAACCCTAAATTAGATAGAACAGGAGATTGCCATACATCAGAATGAATTAAATGCAAAGGTGCAGAAGAAGTATGACTAGCATCCGAAAAAGGTAATCGTTGAGATTTGCCCAAACGGCAAGAAACACAGTCATGTTCAAAATTTGAAGAACTAGTAATAAGTTTTCTAGTGCGTAAGAGACGCAAAACAGAATCACCACAATGTCCTAGTCTACAATGCCACACAGGGCCAGAAGAAGTGACGGAAGCTAAAGCTACGGAAGCAGGATGGCTGAGACTGATAGGATAGAGATGGCCATTATGGTGCGCCTGAAGAAGAACTGCCCCCGAAATTTTGTCCTTAACAAGAAAAGAATTTTTATCAAAAATTGCAACACAGTTGTTATCAGCACACAATTTTTGAATAGAAATTAAATTAAATTTAATTTGAGGCACATGAAAAACAGATTTTAATGACAGTGGGCGACTAGGAGTATTTAATGTAATATTACCAATATTAGCAATGGGAAGCTTAGTACCATTAGCAACACTAATAGTCATGGAGCCAGAGTAAGAGGATTTATTAGACAAAATACCTTCAGACGATGTCATATGAGCCGAGGCACCGGAGTCCGGGTACCACAAAGCATCATTTGATTCACCACTTGGAGCTACCAACGCAGGTGCAGATGGCTGAGAGAAGCGAGATGGACAATGTAAGGCAGAATGACCTGCAGAAAAACAAATCTGACACACAACTGGTGGAGGAACTGAACCAAGAATACCCTCAGCTGATGGAAAACCTGCATGACGAAAGTGAGTACCAAAAGTAGATTTAGCATTAATATTTAAAGTGGACACAACAGATTTACCGGATGCCGCATTAGTCGGTCGGGAAGGAACAACACCCCCTGCTGCCGGAGGTACCAGGACAACGGAAGGGCCTTGCTGGTTCTGGCCGAAGCCTTGCGTGGGTTGATAGGCTTGCTGCCCATAGCCTTGAGGTGGCTGGTAGCGGCCTCTGCCGCGAGCACCTCCCCTGCCGCGACCTCCGCCTCTGCCGCGGCCTCCTCTGCCGCGGTATGCGGTTGGTTGACCTTGCTGCCCGGCATGAACTTGAGCCCCAAAAGCTGGCTGAATAGAGGCATTTTGTTGTTGTTCATACAAAATCTGTTGTTCTGCTTCCATGAGGCGGGGATGAAGTATATCTGGCGGAAAGCTCTCAGGGAATAAAGATATGGTGCCTGTAATAAATTTATATTCTGGTCCCAATCCAGCAAGAGTGCTTTGAAGTAATTCTCTATCAGTCACAGGAGAATTAATCGTGGCTAACGCATCCGCCAAATTTTTAAGTTCACGCAAATAATTTTCCATGGATTGATTTGCCTTCTTTTTAGTATTAGTTAATAAACGTTTAAGTTCCATGGCTCTGGGTAAACATGCAGACATAAAGTGAGACTGTAAACGCTCCCATATACGACACGAATGTTTAATATCATGCACATCAGTTAATACTTCGCGAGATAAAGTAGCAAACAACCAAGAATGAATTGTTTGATCTACTCGGAGCCAATGATAATAATCAGTATTAACGACCTGTTGATTATTAAAATTCAATGTGTATAAGGGAGGTACCGGAGTAGAGCCGTCTATCATACCAAAAAGGCCTTGAGACACAAGGAAGGATTCAAACTGAGTTCTCCATGTCAAGTAGTCTTCCACCGCTTTGAGTTTAATAGTCACAATCTGCCCGATATTGGCAATGCCATGAGACACGGATTGAGCCAGGGCAGCCATAGGAGATCCAAACAGAGAACTGTCCGGGCGTGCAATACCCGGTGAGCCGGCGAAGGTGCTTCCGTAGAAGCCGGCGTTGTGCAGCGGTGGGAGAGTGACCGTCGGGGAAGGAGATCCGACTGGCTGCTGCCATGGGAAGTGAGGCGGAAGGCTCTCAAACAAAGAGTAGGAGCCAAACACCGGTGCGGACGACATAGGGGGTCCCTGGATGGCCGGCGTTCCGGGCAGCGTTACCGGCAGCGACACTTCAGAAAAGATGGCGCCGGTCTGAGTAGTTACCGCGACGGAAGAAACTGCAGCGGCTGAAGAGTGAACATCCATAGCAGTAGTTTGCATGGTGGAGGAAGAAAAAGTCTGGGAGGAAGATGATGTAGCAGATGGCTGCGTTGCTGCGGCAGATACGTGAGGATCCATAGAGCTGCGGCGAACGAGCAAAGAGAGAAAGTAGCGAAAAAAATAGGGATTTTCTTAGGCTCTTGATACCATGTGAAATAATGGGAAAGAGGTTACTCCAATAGGAGTCCTGGCAGATCAATATATAATGAGAGAGTTCAAGGTACAAAAGGAAACAAATATTGCTAAATATATTTTAGGAAACAAATATTCCTAAAATATATTCTATTAATTTGAAGAGGAATAACCAATCATGGCAATGAGCGGCTATTAGGGTCACCACTCAACTTGCAAATTTCAATAAGAATGATGTTCAAATGTTCTCCAAAAATTCAAATTCAACCACTCAAATTGCATGTGAAAGAAACTTCAATAAGATACAAATGTTAAGAACAAGTCATGACTAGAATATAAAAGGATTTAGGTTAAACAAGTCGAAGACATCATATGTTCGCCGGTGAGATTTATTTGAGGTGGAACGCCTTTCACTATTTCAGCTATATTTTTACTTGGATAATCAAAAATCAAGTTATTTAAGTTGTCGTGGATAGAAGATTTGATACTCTACAACTTTTATGAAGACAGTGTAGCCAAATTCGTCATGTAAAAAGATACAAGGTCCAGGTTCTATGGTGCACACACATACCATATCATGTCATAAACCGTGTATGTTTATCAAATTTTCTGCCGTGCAGTGTATGATCATTAGGTAATCACCGCCAATAAACCCGCCGCCAGGTGTATAGACCGTGTGTGGTGTGTATTATTAACTCACAACTTTTGGCGTATACAAAAAGTGTACACTTTTTTATACACTCGTCGGTTCCTAATTTTTTTAAACGAGTTAGTGTATTTACATGCAAAATAGGGAGTGTACACAACCGAGTTTCCCCCTCCAGATTTTAAGCTTAAGAAATCATTTTTAAGCGTAATTTTACCTCATTTTAAAGAAATTATATCACTCTTTATTGGCAAGCGCCCTACCTCACGAAAGAACACTTTTTCGGTTCGATAAGAATGAGATTATTGCGTAGTATATGATTCTTCTTATTCCTATTTTCGTTCTCGCTTCTGTAAGAATTTAATTAATTAATTAACATCCAATAATTAAGTCATATCAAATTGCCTTAATACGTTTCTTTTTCTCTCTAGAATTGCCGCAACGCCTAGCTTGGATTGTCCGGCGGTGATCAATTTGATCACGGCGCCGGTGTTCGTTTCTTTCTGTTTTTTCCGGCTTGGAAGGAGTAGTGTTTCGAGCTCGTTTGCAGTCCTATCATGGTTGTTGAAGAAGCCGAAGTTGCAATTTCCTTAAGTATGTTTTCAAGCCGGAGTATGGTTTCGATTTAGCAACAAGGGATGTCAAAAGAGGATATCGTCATTCAATACAAAATCATGACTATTGAGGCGGATGAGCGGTGGGCGCGTCCCCCTCCTGAGCCGTCGCCATGGAGTGCAAGCAAGGCTAGGGTTTGGAAGCAGATGTGTACTCTGTTTTAATTCGATTTTATTCTGTTTGTGTTTTTCTTTCGAATTGCATGTTGTTTTGGACATGTTCTTATTTTCTAGTAAAAAGATTCTAGTTTAGAAGTCAAGTGATGAGAAGTCTGTTTTGCTAGTCATTGGCTCAGTTAAGCTCATTTCAGGATCAACGAATAGTATTGCTTCTCCAGAGGTGATATATTCTAAGTCTAGTTCGAGGGCGGACGGCAGACATAAAACTTTTTATCATTTTGTTTACTTTTTTCCTTGGATTGTATTATCAGCCATGTGATGAACGTTATTTTGATTTATTATATTTGTTGGATTTAAGAATAAAAAACCTCCAACAATTAAGTGAGGGAACTTTATCTATACGAGTCAAAATAGGAATACAACTAGGAATTGACATACTACTAAGTTCTAAGAAGCTCAGAGAAATAATTGAACAATCAGCTCAAAAATTAGAAAACTAGGTACGTGGGTAACAACGTTTTATATACAAGTATCACACTATCAACTAATGTTCTTTGACAACTGGGGCGATGGTGGCAGCCAGTGGTAGGTGGCCGTTGACCTATCTTTCATCAGATACTTATACACAACTCAATCTGAACGATTTATTATTAATACTCCGTATAGAATTTCAAAGTAAAAACATACTAAAAGTTATGAATTGTACTAAAAATTAATACATAATCACAAAAAACTTGTACTCCCCCATCCCAAACATATTCCTATCCACATTCAAATTCTTTTTAGTAAATCAAATTTACATATTCAAAAATTACATTAAAAGTTTTACAAAGTTGCAAAAAAATCAAATTTGATAAAAATTTGATATATAAAATAAGAGATTAAGACTGATTTGTATTGATCAATTGTATAAGAAGTTGGAGTGTAGGTAGTATTTACCATCATTTTCATTCAAATTGCTTATCCTCACTATTCGGTTAAAATTTGTAACACCAACTCAAGCGTATCAAAGCATTAGGGTTGGTTTGCAAATGCTTTAAAAAAAAGCACTTCTCAACTTTTGGGTTAAAAAAACACTTATTTTACCAAACACTACCAAGTTTTATTTTTCTCGGCTTTCGTGTCAAAAGTGCTTTTACTTTTTCAATTACACAAAAAGTACATATTTTGCTAAACACAGCCAACTTTTACTTTTCAAAATCACTTTTTTCTCAAACATTATCAACTTTTATTTAATCACTTCTTCCCATTTTATTAAAAAAAGAACTTTTTAAAAAGTAAAAGCTGTTGCAAACAGACCTTGTTGAAGTTTACTCCCGTAGATCCGAAAGCCCAACACACGCTTTGGATATTTAAGGACGTTAGGTTCGATATAAAGGTGTATAAAATACTCTCTCCGGTTCACATTCTTCTTTACACTTTCCTTTTTTGTCAGTACCATATTCTTCTTTACACTTCCTTATTTGCCTTATTTGGCAAACAAATCTACATAAAACAGTGCCAAACAGTGCCAAACAGTGTACTCTACAGTAAAGTCAAATTTATTTTCTTAAAACTTGTGAAGTCAAAGTGTCAAGGAGATTATGAACTGAAGGGAGTATAAAACAGTGAATATGGACTCAACTCAGAAGCTAATTGTATTAAGTAATTCGGTGATTACAATAAAACTACCCGAACGGTATGTCGGTACGAGTTTGAATACAACACAAGAGATATGAGTCTATTGCTAAGCTCCGAGTATCAAAATGCTAACTCTTTACAATGTATTCAATGCAGGTATTCATACTAAGATGGGGTGGGTGGGATGTTGATGTGGTCGAACCCCGTTGGTTGCTGCTTTTGCCACTTGCGACCCCATGCTTCTACTTGCTACCGCCATACTTCAGCATTAAATGAGGCTCCCACTTGCTGACCACCCGTCCGGGTAGCGCGTTTGGTGTGCGGGACCCCCCTTTTGAGGGTGTTTGATGCCAGTACTCTGTTGATTGTCTCAAGTGGACAAATCCACCCGAATACTGTTCAGGTATCCCCCATTCAGGATGCCCTGAGCCTTTCCGCTTCCGTTGGGCCTCCTGTCTCCCCTGGGCCTTCTTTATGCTTTGGGCCGGGTGGATTGGGATTGGGCCCAATTCCTCAACAGACTCTTAATTCCACAATCCAATCATCCAATTATAATAACATTTTTTTAAGATGTCATACACCTTGCGATTCAAATGAGATCAGTATAACACTTTTAAGAAGGGAGTAAGAGGTTCGAGACCCATTCGAATCAAGTTGTTGGCATTTAACAGAATAATATTATAAGATGTGATAAACCGAAAAAATCATATACTCTGTATTTTAAGTCGCATCTATTCGCATCATAAATCGAAAGAAGACCGGCGACAGAGGGGAGAGAGGAGCGGCGAAGGGAAACCCTAGCCGCCTCATCCTCTTCCTTCCTTCCTTTCTTCTCTTCTTTTGACTTCAATCGTGGAAAAAGTTTGGTTTAATCAGTATTTTTAGTTCTATCTATACGTTTATTTCCTAACGTTGTCTAGAGATATTATTTTCGGTGGCGAAGTGTCGCTCGCCAGATCTATATTCCCCGCCATCATCAGTCGGGTGTTCTTGTGTGCTAGTAAGAGGTTTGTATTGGCTTCTTTATCAATCCTGAATCAGAATTTCTTCTGCATCGATATAGAGGCCGATTGCGCCCCTCCTGAACCACCACTGATCCGGGAAGATGACATTGGATGTATTGCTTTCTTTCCGGTGGCTGGTCAAACTGGAACAATTTCTGCACTTGGCTCCTTACCGGTGGCTGGAAAATCCGCCAAGTTCAATAATTCCTTTTCGGTGGCTGGTCAAGCCGAACCCATTTTGAGTTGCATGAGCATACACACTGCGGTACGAGTCTACATTGTTGCAGAGTTAGCGAACATGAGTGCTTTTATATGGTGTTTTTGTTCTTTGTCTCACCCTAGTGTAGTATTGAACGCTATGATTGTAATGCTTCAGCTTTTAGTTGTTATGTTTCTTGTTAAGATCTGATTATCAATAAAATAGTTATTTGATTTTAAAAAAAAAGATGTGAGAAACCGAGAATCTGAATTATGTTCAAATAAGAAAATGATCTTAAGAGAGAAACGATAATTAATCTGGACCGTTAGATTGTATTATGTGAAATTTAATGTGCATTAGGTGAAATTGAAATGTGCAACACAATGATACGGTGACATTATGTGAAGTTGAATTTCACCTTACCTTCTATTCTGCACATTTCAATTTAACCTAATGCACATTTGAGTTTTACCTTTTATTTTGCACATTTCAATTTCATCCGAATTGGAAGCACATTTCAATTTCACATATTATAATCCAACGATCCAGATTTATTTTCATTTCTCTTCTAAGAGTCATTTCTCACCGGAACCGCTCCCGAGAGAAAGTAGCCAAAAAAACCAAGCATTTTTTAAGACAAATAGCCGGTGATGTGGCAGCCTGCACTTTGGTGGAATTCATTTAAAACAAGGATACTTATTTATGTTATTGATTTATATCAACATAACTTTTTGAAAAAACAAGATTCATTTTATATCGTTAAAAAAAAGTTATTTCATTTTATATAAGAGTGGGCCGTGGGCCGTGGGCACGGTTTGTG